TCATTCGCGAAGGAAGGAGCCCGCAGGGGAAGTGGCCCGGACGCACCACCGGGGCTACTCACCGGCCGCAGTGCTGACCAGCAGGACTGCCCATAGCAGCCAGGGCACCCGCCGGGGCCGCCGCAGCGAGGAAGTCATCCCTGGGTCAGCCGAGAAGCAGGAGGACCAAGAAAAGAAATACGGAAAGTAAGTACGGGCAGAGAAATCCGGCCGGGAGGCTCGTCCTCGCTCTCGTCTGATCTATCCTGCCCAGACTACAATGCAGTTTGAAAGGACAAATGGCAGATGAGAGGACCGAGCTGCAGAGCGTTCATGCCGCTGCAGAAATTCCCTTCATTTCTCTCCCTCGCGGCTGGGAGGGCTCATTCGCCTCGGACCGGGTGCCTCGGCCCCCCAAGCGGAAGGCATGTCCGTGCGGAGAAGCAGGGCGCCAAGAAGAAACCCCCGCAGCTATTTCCCTCGGAGTTTCACGATGTCGAAAAAATAGCCAGGTCTGGGAGAAAACATATCCAGGGTGCAGAGGGGCGGAGGGCGGGGTTTGGTGCGGGAGCCGAGGATCAGAACAAGTTCCCGACTGCCAGGAAGGGCCGAGCCGGGCGGGCGGCGGCGGTGCCCGGCGGCCCCAGTCGCATCGCCCGCGGCTCCGGGAGGGCGAGATTCCTTTTAAAGTTTCGCTTCGCTGCTCCCTTCACTCCGATTTCGAGAACAAACCACCCTCGTCCTCGACTGGATCGAAAAAGGTGCCTGCCTCCATGGACAACCACAGCCTTTGCCCCTTCGCGGAACAATCGCGCGAGGGTCTGGCCGCCCGCCTCGGGCTCGCGGGGGTGGGCAGAGGTCGGCGGGCAGAGTCCGGGGCTCCCCGAGACAGCGGCGGAGGGGAGGTGCGCGAGGCGGCCCCTTCTAGCCTCCGGGGTGCGCTCCCCTCTCCGGCTTCTTCTCTCTTCTATTCCTGCCGCCCGATCTTGCCTGAGGTAAATTCCACCATGAACGCCTCGTCTTCTCCC